TAGCCACAGATGTGAATTACAGGGGCAAATAAATATGCCACATAATGCATTTGACACTAGTTTACAAAATTGAGTAATTCTAGAGCAGCAGCGTGGGAGCCAAGCTCCTCACACAGAGAATTTTACAGAGGAGAAATAGTGGTTTAAATCAGTGTCCCGGAAACAGGCTCACTAAAATTTTAGCTGGCTATTCTAGGAAAGTGGATCATGTCAGCAGTATCGCGGACTGTGAAGGTGGTGGGAAGGATACTGAATAGGAGGAGCGTATCAGTGAAATTGTGGGCAATGGAGGTTGAGAAGGAGAAACCAAAATGTATGTAATGTAGTCCATATAAGTGAAGGTAAAGCTGGGGACACAGAAGATAGAGCAGAGATTTGCTGCTGAAGATTTTTTAAGTAGGAAATAAGGCAGTGGAGCTGTTCACATGCACTGGTGAAGGGGTTAAGGCACATAGGGATAAGACTTAAGCAAGAGAATGTGCACTTCTAAACATACACTATATTGCCAAAAGTATTGGGACACCCCTCCAAATAAATTTATGTACCTAGCCATGCAGACTGCTTCTGCAAACATTTGTGAAAGAATGGGTCGCTGTCAGGACCTCAATGAATTCAAGCGTGGTACCGTGATAAGTTGCCACCTGCGCAATAAGTCCATCCGTGAAATTTCCTTGCTACTCCATATTCCACTGTCAGCTGTTAGTGGCATTATAACAAAGTGGAAGCAACTGGGAACAACAGCAACTCCATGTAAGACCGCGTAAAATGACAGTGAGGGTTCAGCGCATGCTGAAGTGCACAGTAGTCGCCAACTGTCTGTAGAGTCAAAAGCTAAAGACCTCCAAACTTTGTGTGGCCTTCAGTTCAGCAGAACAACAGTGCATAGAGAGCTTCATGGAATGGGTTTCCATGGCTGAGCAGCTGCATCCAAGCCTTACATCATCAAGTCAAAGTGTCATATGTAGTGGTGTAAAGCTCGCCACCACTGGACTCTAGAGCAGTGGAGACGTGTTCTCTAGAGTGACAAATCATGCTTCTCTGTCTGGCAATCCAATGAACATGTCTGGGTTTGGCGGTTGCCAGAAGAACGGTACTTGCCTGACTTCATTGTGCCAAGTGTAAAGTTTGGTGGAGAAAGGATTATGGTGTGGGGCTGTTTTTCAGGCTTGGCCCCTTAGTTCCAGTGAAGAACTCTTAAGGTGTCAGCATACCTAGACATTTTGGACAATTTCATGCTCCCAAGTTTGTGGTAACAGTTTGGGGATGGCCCTTCCTGTTCCAACATGACTGTGCACCAGTGCACAAAGCAAAGTCCATAAAGACATGAATGAGCAAGTTTGGGGTGGAGGAACTTGACTGGCCTGCACAGAGTCCTGACCTCAACCCGACAGAACACCTTTGGGATGAATTATAGCGGAGACTATGAGTTAGGCCTTCTCATCTGACATCAGTGCCTAACCTCACAAATGCGCTTCTGGAAGAATGGTCAAACATTCCCATAGACACACTCCTAAACCATGTGGACAGCCTTCCCAAAAGACTTGAAGCTGTTGTAGCAGCAAAGGGTGGGCCCACTCAATATTGAACCCTATGGACGAAGACTGGGATGCCATTAAAGTTCATGTGCGTGTAAAGGCAGGCGTTCCAATACTTTTGGCAATATAATGTATATTGGGAACTGAGTGCTTAAAGGGTTAGGTTGCATCAGCTGGGTATTGGGTGAGTTTAATCTACAAGCCTAGGGGCTGAATACTTCATAGACAACCTACATGAGCTGAGGACTGGAAGTTGTGGGGTTATCACATATGCACAGAGGATTGTGCACAGAGGGATTAACACGCATGAGCTATGGCTCAGTGCTAAACGGTTAATCCTTATATGCTGGGAACAGGTCACTGAGAAGGGAAAGTGATAGGTTTAACTCACCTGCTCTGTGGAAAAGTATTGTACAGAGCAGTCCCTTACCTTCTCTTTGACAGTCCCCAGTTGGAACTGTCCTCTCCTTCTTCCTGCAAGTGCCCCCATAGCAAACTGTGTGCTATGGGGGCATCCGTGTGAGCGTGCTCCCAAGCCGGGCTGTTGTGTGTTCATAGACGTACATAATGTGGTTTGGCAACTCCCCCTACACCCTGCTCACAGGATTTGGCTGACAATGTCTGACTGCCTATGTCTCCTATGAAACCAGGATGTGGAGTGGTGCTGCAGATGGGGACAAAGCTGGATCGTGAGAGGGACAATTAGTGGGGCCTTTTTTACCTTCATGCAGGGAATGCATTAAAGTGTTACTAAACCCAGGACCCTGCATTCACTATATCTGGTCTCCCACAGTACACACAACATGGAAATGCAATTATTTTAGTAAATACAAACTGCTAAATACCTTTTCTGTAGGTCTTTAGCTGACACTCTGGGATTCTTCTTTAACTCTTGCAGCATTCTGCGCTGTGCTCTTGCAGTCATTTTTACAGGACGATCATGCCTAGGGAGAGTAGCAACAGTGCTAAACTTTCTCCATTTGTAGACAGTCTGTCTTACCGTGGACACATGAACATCAAGGCTTTTGGAGATACTTTTGTAACCCTTTCCAGCTTCATGCAAGTCAACAATTCTTGATCATAGGTCTTCTGAGAGCTCTTTTCTGCGAGGCATGGTTCACATCAGACAGTGCTTCTTGAAACCAGTAAACCCAAAACAGGTGTGTGTTTTTTTAAGGGCAGGACAGCTGTCAGCAACACATCCAATATCACACTGATTGGAGTCAAGGTTGGCTCACTCCTGGCTCCAATTAGCTCTGGGAGAAGTCATTAAGCTAGGGCCTCATGTACTTTTTCCTCCCTGCACTGTGAATGTTTACATGTTATGTGCAATTAAACCATGGCAACATCTAATGTTTCTGTAGTATTATGTTCAGCAGACTGTGTTCTTCTATTGTTGTGACTTAGATGACGTTCAGAGCACATTTTATGCCCAATTCATGCAAAACTCCACGTAATCCCAAGGGGTTCACATACTTTTTCTTGCAACTGTACAAACTGATTTTACTGTTGTGGGTTTAGTAACATTTTAAGGTAAAATATATGTAGACTTTAGAACCACTTTAAGGCACAAACAATAAATATTCATCAATTAGGAGTTGATGTAGATGCTTGTAAGGTGGGGAACTGAGAAACCGGCACGCCTTCTGTGGTACACTGGTCACTGAAAGGTTTGTATGGAACTCTAAAGTCACTGATGGGTTGTTGCACATACATACATTGCAGAATGGCCTCTTGTGTTAGTACTGTTAGTCTGCTGGAGTAAAACTGGCTTGGGTGTGCTGAGAACTGGAGGGCCAGCTTACTGCTGGTATGGCTACTGGGCAGTGTTCCATATCAGTGCACAAAAAAAATCGTGAACTACATAGTAGGAAGCAACGAGAAACTGCATTTCTGCAGCATGCATGGTGTGTGACTGCAGATTGCAGAGCCTTTTAAATGGGAGAAGCTGGAATGTGTGTGCTGGGGGGGTGGGGTAACTAATCTAAATGCTAGAGTGGTGGTGTCACTAGGGAAGGACCAGGAAGAGGCTGATTTGCAATTTGAATGCAGAACTTCGAATTAGACACAAGTTTACAATGGGACTGTTTTTTTCTTTAAAATCCTAATTTTACACAGATATTTATTATGAGATAGTCTCATGGTAGAATAAAATAATTTTTTGGACATTGGGGTAAACAATCATGTCCAATTTGTTATTAATTGCTCCACTAGGACAATTACTGTCCTTGATTCAGTATATAGTGTCCCAGATTTTCAATCTGCAAGCTAGAGATTGCTTACTTTAACGCAGGTCACGCTCTGCTGCATCAGGAATACAGAGCTAATACAGTGCAAACAAAAGCCACATTTGTTAAATTCTTCAATCCGAGAGCCAAAATTCTCCCTTTTGCGGGACTGCAGAGGGAGACGAGAAGTGCTAGACCACCCTTGATAGACTATAACTCATGTAAAATCACTGGCTCAAATGTATTCTCACAGGTCAAGGAAGTGGGTTATTCCATAACTTTGATAATCTGTGACCAACATCCAACCAGTGAACTGTGGGCAGGTGAGGATGTCATTTCATAATGAATTGCCCTCTGGGCCATTCACTGTATGGGTAACCTGTTTACATATGCCCAGGGCTAAAGAATCAACATCTGCTTCCAAAGTGACTCAGTGTTTAGTGTGTGTGTGTGTGTGTGTGTGTGTGTGTGTGTGTGTCCCATGCCAAGCTGCATGTTTTGTAGTACTTTTTTTTTCTTCAGCGCACACCACTGGGACCACACCAGGGATTGCTCTGGGAAAGGTTTTCCAGCTTAGTCCCAGAGCACTTGGTGTGAACAAGCCCTAATAGGCATTATTCAATTAAATTCTATGTATAACCCACACTTTTTTAGTTACATATTTTGGATAGAGAGGGGGAAAGGATAGAACACCATTACATTTTTATTACCGTCTGTGTTACTGCGAAGTAACCTTCTCTGTTTATCCAGGTGACCATTGTCATCAAAAAAGATAGTGACGGCAAATCTACAATGTTACAGTTACTACCAGAACAGGAAGTGAGGGCAAATCGTTCAATGGGGACACCTGTTCCAGTGACAACTATCTAAGATGGGATCCTCTTCACTTTGTAGAGATCTCCTCACTTGCTGTTTTAGTCCTTAATGCATGGTACATACGTTACATTTTCTTTTCGTTCAACCCAGTGGGCTGAACAAAAAACAATGGAGGAGGTTGCTGTACTAACTATGTGATGTTAGTACAGTAATCTCCCTGCTGTGCTATTGTGTTCTGACAGGAGGACTGTCCTCTCCCCCCCCCCCCCCCCCCCCACTGTAGATGCACTTTAACAGAATGCAAACACATAACATGTAACAAACACATATGGTTTATATTAAAACCATTCTAGAACTGTGTATATCATAATTTTATTTTGCTTTAAAGAACATTTACTTATGAGTTTTGTGTTTTACATAGGTCAAAATTAAAGATGGAAGACATCAAAGAGGTTAACAAAGCTCTTAAGGTATGGTAAGAGGGCAGTAAATTTTTACTTCCTGGTTTCAGTGTAATACAGCTGGTATTTTTTTCCCTAGGATTATTCTTTTTTTACCCCCTAGCCGGAACTGTATTATCAGACTTGACTAAGTTGCACTTGTCTTCAAATCCTCTCCTTGTCATTTTGTTTGTCTAACTTAATATAACTTAGAATACTAAACATACAGTACAGAAATACTGCAGAGATGATCCAGGATGGCTGACCTGAAATGGAGAAAATGTTACTGGGAAGTTTCTGCAATAAAAACATACTCTGCCAATCATAAATGTCCATCTACATACAGTCAGGTCCATAAATATTGGGACATCAACACAATTCTAACATTTTTGGCTCTATACACCACCACAATGGATTTGAAATGAAAGGAACAAGATATGCTTTAACTGCAGACTGTCAGCTTTAATTTGAGGGTATTTACATCCAAATCAGGTGAACGGTGTAGAAATTACAACAGTTTGCATATGTGCCTCCCACTTGTTAAGAGACCAAAAGTAATGGGACAATTGGCTTCTCAGCTGTTCCATGGCCAGGTGCGTGTTGTTCCCTCATTATCCCAATTACAATGAGCAGATAAAAGGTCCAGAGTTCATTTCAAGTGTGCTATTTGCATTTGGAATCTGTTGCTGTAAACTCTCAAGATGAGATCCAAAGAGCTGTCACTATCAGTGAAGCAAGCCATCAATAGGCTGAAAAAACAAAACAAACCCATCAGAGAGATAGCAAAAACATTAGGCGTGGCCAAAACAACTGTTTGGAACATTCTTAAAAAGAAGTAACGCACCGGTGAGCTCAGCAACACCAAAAGACCCGGAAGACCACGGAAAACAACTGTGGTGGATGACCGAAGAATTCTTTCCCTGGTGAAGAAAACACCCTTCACAACAGTTGGCCAGATCAAGAACACTCTCCAGGAGGTAGGTGTATGTGTGTCAAAGTCAACAATCAAGAAAAGACTTCACCAGAGTGAATACAGAGGGTTCACCACAAGATGTAAACCATTGGTGAGCCTCAAAAACAAGAAGGCCAGATTAGAGTTTGCCAAACGACATCTAAAAAAGCCTTCACAGTTCTGGAACAACATCCTATGGACAGATGAGACCGAGATCAACTTGTACCAGAGTGATGGGAAGAGAAGAGTATGGAGAAGGAAAGGAACTGCTCATGATCCTAAGCATACCACCTCATCAGTGAAGCATGGTGGTGGTAGTGTCATGGCATGGGCATGTATGGCTGCCAATGGAACTGGTTCTCTTGTATTTATTGATGATGTGACTGCTGACAAAAGCGGCAGGATGAATTCTGAAGTGTTTCGGGCAATATTATCTGCTCATATTCAGCCAAATGCTTCACAACTCATTGGACGCCGCTTCACAGTGCAGATGGACAATGAACCAAAGCATACTGCAAAAGCAACCAAAGAGTTTTTTAAGGGAAAGAAGTGGAATGTTATGCAATGGCCAAGTCAATCACCTGACCTGAATCCGATTGAGCATGCATTTCACTTGCTGAAGACAAAACTGAAGGGAAAATGCCCCAAGAACAAGCAGGAACTGAAGACAGTTGCAGTAGGGGCCTGGCAGAGCATCACCAGGGATGAAACCCAGCGTCTGGTGATGTCTATGCATTCCAGACTTCAGGCTGTAATTGACTGCAAAGGATTTGCAACCAAGTATTAAAAAGTGAAAGTTTGATTTATGATTATTATTCTGTCCCATTACTTTTGGTCCCTTAATAAGTGGGAGGCACATATGCAAACTGTTGTAATTCCTACACCGTTCACCTTATTTAGATGTAAATACCCTCAAATTAAAGCTGACAGTCTGCAGTTAAAGCACATCTTGTTCGTTTCATTTCAAATCCATTGCGGTGGTGTATAGAGCCAAAAATGTTAGAATTGTGTCGATGTCCCAATATTTATGGACCTGACTGTATCTGTATATTTATTATCTTAGTGGCAAATGCTGTAGTTCTATTTGAAGAAATTCCAAAAATGTAATGGCTGTAATGTATCATGTGATTTAGATCTTGCATGTGCATATTTCTGTAAAACCCAAGGACTTTTTTATTCCTCTCCTAGCTTGTGCTATTTTTGAGTTTATATTGCTAACAATTTCTAGTAATTAGTGTATATTTATTATTGGAAAGGGTTTCCATTGTAAAGCATAATCTAAAAACAACTGTTAGGGGAAGCAAGGACTGATGATGCAATAGGTGCAGTGAATAAGATACCTTTGCAATAATCACTTGGAGGTATAATATACTATCCACTAAAATGGGAGGTTCTGCTTGTGACAGGGTGCAATAAATCATGGACCCATGTGTAATTTGTTTTTATGCCAGTGTGATAGGAAAAAAAAAAAAAACACTACTTTCATGCCATTGCACACCTACCACCATTATGTCCATCACCTTTTACCCTACTACACTCACACAGCCACACACTCGATCTCCTCCATGAACCTGAACACTAAGGCCTATCATTACTCTTCTTGGTATTGATCAGGTATGAAAGATAAAGCCTAGATAGATACAAGGTTAGTGGTAATAGTGTCAGGAATTGCTCTTGAACCTTATGGTGTGGGGACAGTCTGTAATGTTGCCCTGGGCATCAGATTCTGCTTGGGTGCTTACCTTGGCACTTAGTACACTTGTAGTTAGCCGAAAGTCCAGGGCCGTTTTCCATTTCTTATGGTTTCCAGACTCTGAAAACCTCTCCAGGGGCATGCCTACAGTGATGAACGAAGCCTGGACCCATGCAGAGACCAGTAACACGGACAGATAAGATAGGTTTGTCCTGTTATCAGACCCTCACTTTAGTTCTATAGTAAGTATGAGACTATATCTCCACTACTTGAAATACACTTATTAGTGTCTCCTAAATATTGATTAGAGCTGATTCGCACATGTGCAGTGTGGATTGAAGCTCAGGTTTCACAGCTAATTGACACAGGAGTTGTTTAGGTCAGGTTTACATCAGGTTCAGGTCAGGATTATATCTTGTTCACACATGTGCGGTTTAGACAATAGCCTGTAATCCACACCTGAACCTGGACCGCACTGCTCAGAAATCGGACAGCACTCTTTTTCAATCTGTACTGCTAGTGTATTGGACATACACTATATTGCCAAAGGTACTGGGACGCCTGCCTTTACATGCACATGAACTGTAATGGCATCCCAGTCTTCGTCGGTAGGGTTCTCTTTGCACTATAATAGCTTCAACTTTTCTGGGAAGGCTGTCCACAAGGTTTATGAGTGTGTCTATGTTAAGGTTTGACCATTCTTCCACAAGTGTATTTGTGAGGTCAGGCACTGATGTCAGATGAGAAGGCCTGGCTCAGTCACCGCTCTAATTCGTCCCAAAGGTGTTCTATTGGGTTGAGGTTAGGACTCTGTGCAGACCAGTCAAGTTCCTCCACCCCAAATTCGCTCATCTATGTCTTTATGGACCTTGCTTTGTGCACTGATGCACAGTTACGTTGGAACAGGAAACGATCAACCCCAAACTGTTCCCACAAAGTTGGGAGCATGAAATTGTCCAAAATGTCTAGGTATGCTGGTGCCTTAAGAGTTCCCTTCACTGGAACTAAGGGGCCAAGCCCAACTCCTGAAAAACAACCCCACACCATAATCCCCCTTCCACCAAACTTCACACTTGGCACAATGCAGTCAGGCAAATACCGTTCTCCTGGCAACTGCCAGTAAATTTTATGGATGGACTTATTGCACAGGTGGCATCCTATCACGGTACCACGCTTGAATTCACTGAGCTCTTGAGAGCAGCCCATTCTTTCACAAGTGTTTGTAGAGGTAGTCTGCATACCTAGGTGCTTGATTTTATACACTTGTGGCCATGGAGGTGATTGGAACACCTGAATCCAATGATTTTGAGGGGTGTCCCAAAATCTTTGGCAATATAGTGTATGTGTACAGGCAACGAAGGAAGCAAGGTTATTTCACATGTAATGCAGGTTCAAACCGCATCCAATCCACATATATGTGAACCGGCAGTTAAACCATTAAACTATTTGGAAACTGGGAATTCTTGTTTGACTTTTGTTCACTATAGTGTGTTTAGATTTTCGAAAATGGTGGTAAAACTTCCACTATTTTGAGTAGACATCTCTAGACTATCCTATGCTTCTCCTCAAAAAAGAGAGGAACTCTTTAGCTTTGTTGGTTTAATACTCTAACATTGGAAAAGTCTGTTGTCCTACCTTAATGGAAGGTGATAACAAATGCTGCGTTTAAGGCTGGGGAGGAGTGTTTCAGTCATTCACAATTTAGGGTCCCTGGTTATCTAGGGAAGCAAAGCTCCTCCTCAACATCTTGGAGCTCAGAGCAATAGTATTAATCTCCTGGGTAGAAATGCACTACCCAACCGTTTCTGCTGTTCACATCCTGGTGGATTTTTCCTCAGCCATCATTGCCTGGACCAAGGGGAATGATCCAATCAACCTGACATTTTTAATGTCTTATGCCAGAAAGGAAGGTGAACATCTTGGCCTCCAGGTTCAACATCAAGTTGCTCCTATTTGTGGCCAGGACCAAGAATCCTCCAGCACTAGCATCTGATACTCTGGTAGACCTATGGATTCTGCTCAGGTTAATATATGCCTTCCACAAAGTGCTTCCTTGACTGTTCTGCAAGACAGAGGAAGAGAATACTGTGATTCTCATTGCACCAAACTGGCCCGGAAGAACCTGGTATACAGACATACTCAAACTCCCATCTGCTGCAACCCTGAACATGAAGGTTCTTTAGGCAGTGTGCCCACTGGAGGGATGAAGATTAGTGGAAGTAGCATGTGTTCCCTAAATCCTGCCTCTCTATCCCCGATGTACCTGTGTGGGAAACGCAGGGCCCCTTGGGACCTCAGCGGTGGTGAGTTTGGTCTTTGGTCCTTGTTAGTCTGATGGTGCTTACCTTAACTTGCTCCAGTTGTTCCTAATGAGTTAACTTGTGGGGCTGCGACAATATTGATTGCATGACCAACAACAGTAAGAGAATCTGTGCCATATTTTGGAACTCAAACAGCCCTCTGCGGCTGTGTGGTCTCTTTTGGCCCAACTGCTCCTGCTTCGGTTATTTCCCAGGGTTCTCACTGCGCATTCCATTCTCCAAGGAGCATGCAGACCTTTTTGCCTTTCTGCCTTTTTTTCGGCCTATCCTCTGGATGTTTGCCTGGGCTCCCTGCTACTTAAGTGTGAACTGGTCTACATTAACTCTTCCTTCTCGAACATTGGTTTGTGATTACCACTTGTGGACAATCCCTCACTTGTATACCCAGGATGAGAGATCATAAGGGCAATGGCAATGATCCTCTGGGCCTTGGCAGCTTACTATCCTCTAACAGTGACAGGGCTCTTGCAGTGGGCTGCCTAAGAGAGCTCACAAAAATATCCCAAACCACGGTTACAACGCTCCTCAAAGTCTTCGCTAACCTCTGTAGGGGTAACTTATTTCTGTGTTATCTTGGAGGGCAGTTTTCTGCTGCTATGTCTGGGATTATATGTTAGCTGATTCAGCGCTGGAGCACAGGTTAAGGAATGTATCCTATATCTATTTGAGGAGAAAAAACTCCAAAACTAAAGTATACCATATTGATCCTTGATGCAGACTGTGTGCGCCTTGACTTGACCTCACTGTGTCAGCTTCACCAGTTACCAGCTTGGACTTTCTTAAAAAAAAAAAAAAAAATGTTTGTCCAAAAGAAAAATTGTTCCAAAATGTTTTGCCCAGCAATTGGAGTGATTCCCAAAAAAGACACTGACTGTCCCTGTAGATAAACAGCCTGCCATTGTTGCCATGTCTATCTGCCAGACCTTAGCTGTCTGGTCCAAGGATATGCCTCAGGATCCTTGATCTAACCTAATGAATACATCTATCCTCCCAACAACTGGATCATGCCTGTGACCCTACTGTGTTGGCTAGCAGATATCTTGCACCAAATATCTAGAATGGGCCTCCTTTTGGTACACATGTGGAGGGCGCTATGGCTCAAATGTTGGTCTGTGGAACATCATTGTAAAAAACCCCTCTTGCTTTCACTGTTTGGGGAATGCCTCTTTGGAAAATGTCTGGACAATTTAACAAGGGGGTAACCAGAGGATGAGGGCAAACCAACAGAACCTAAATCAGGGAGACCCTCTACCTGTTAAACTAAGAATTTTTTTTCTTTTTTTCCATTCAAGTCAAACCTGAAACTTTGTTCTGCCACAAGCCCTGGACTCCCAAATTGTTGAAGTCCAAAAATATGTCCTCTCCATGAGGAGGCACCCACACTTTTGAGAGTGGCAGGATGCCTGTTGGCCTTTGTGACCATCTGGTCTCAGGACATTGGACATTTGGGTCCAGAACATTGTATCCAGAGGCTACAAGCTGGAATATTGATCTGTGCCTGCATTGCGCTTCATGTTGTCAAACTTGTTCGTGTTCCTGAAAAGGCTGATGAACCTCTGCACTGATCTGGTGCAGCTTCTGTCTCAGAGGGTCATATTCATTGTCCGAAAAAGAGAAATGTTCCAGGGTTACAATCCAAACCTGTTCAGTTTGCCCAAGGCAAAATGGGGCATCTACCCCATTTTTAATCTGAAGGTTCTCAGCACCTTTCTCCAGATACTACATTAACTGCTAGTTCATTTCTTTCCTGCATCTGGGACAAATTATGGCCGCTGTGGACAAGGATGCCTACTTCATGTTGGATAGCCCCCTTTCTTGCTCTACTTTGCTCTCTGAGCATAGTGGGTGTCTGGGTGAAATGTTTCTGAAGGATCAATCATTACAGGCTCTATAAGCCAGTTTTTATCGGACTGGTACCATCCCATTGTTTGGAGGATCTGGGCTTGGATATGGACTTGTCAAAGGTTTTCTTTCCATAGGACAAACTCCAGACTGTTTGGACTCTGCAGTCCAGGAGCTAACCAACCCTCACATTTTGCATGAGGGTGCTGTGCTTAATGTTGGCCTCTTTTAAAGTTCTCCTGATGGATGCTCACCTATCTAATTCTGGAACTCATTGCAATTCAGTTAATTTCTTCATAAATTTAGACCAAAATGTATTCTGCTACGTCTTTGGCTAAAAAAAAAAAAATCCCAATGCTTGTATTAATTGATTTGTTTGAAAGTTAAAGTGTCTATAAACTATGGTATATATATTTGAAAATTGATCAGTTCTGATGGCCGATCTCATTAGTGGAGGCCCTTAAAATGTCAGGATAGTACAAGTACCCCCCAAATGACCCCTTTTTAGAAAGTAGATAGCCTGAGGTATTTAGCAAGAGGCATGGTGAGTTTTTTTGAAGTTTTTGCTTTTTGTCACAACTTTTGGAAAGTTAGGGAATTAAACAAAACGTGTTGTTTTTTTTTAAATTTTTCATACTATCACCATAGCGATCACATGATCCCTGGGTCACTCAAAGAGGGGTACCGGGAACGGCTAACGTAATGGCACCACCATTCTGTGGTTGTAAGCAAGAACATGCCTTTTGGGGCTTCCTCATTAAAAAGGATGCTAGCACATCATCCTACTGCTCCTTGGGCTAATCACATTTACTTTCAAAGATGCTGAGGTAAGCTTCAACATCATTCTTTGGGAACAATTTCCATAAATTGCTTTGCATTACCTGTCCGCTTGTAGAAGTTGGTCCCGACTTCAACATCTGCTTCAAGATCTGTATCTGCTGCTGCAGGGATAGCTTCACTTAATGTTTTCCTGCTAAGGAGGCCTGGTTTGCTAAGTCATCTGTTGTATTTGCAATGGTTGCATCTGCCAATATGAGCCAATTTAAAAGCTTATCCATTGTATTCAAGAATAGGTGTCTGGACCACCCCTCTGTAACATTTCATAGAAGCATAGAAAAGTGACGGCAGAAAAAGACGAAAGGGTCCATCGAATCTGCCCATTTCCCCCCCTTTTTTTCATGTTTTTGTCCATATTTCATTTATATATATGCTTTTTCACCAAATATAGGCTTGAGCACAGAGATAGGGGGGAACAGAGAGGAAAAGTACTTTTATGCAGTATAAAATCAATGCAGCTTAAAGCTGAATTAAATCCTTCTATCCTTTATAGCTAAGGAAGCTGTTATCTTAGGGTCTGTTAAATCCACAGTTGCCATAGTGCTGCACATTTTAATCAGCTATGATACCAGTCATTTTGTGGCTTGACAGACGGACTGAATGCTGACATAAGCACTAGCACTGTATGGCATGCCTTGAATGTGATTTAGGAAAGCGTTAAGTTAGTGGGGTAAATTCTACTTTTAGTCCTGGAACATGCATGGTATGTAAGAGATATTTGCCATATAAACATCAAATCACAAAAACTACATTATAATGGTCAATTATGATCCCACTGGCCTTGGTGTTTCCAGAAGATGGTTTTCTCAATGTGTGACAACATTGGCAGCAGTTGACCGTAGAGTTTTGTTTTGCCTTCTTTTGGACCAAAACTGAAAGGGTTGTGAAGGGTTAAACTTTATGGACATGAGTCTCTAACTTTTCTCACTATATTTGCAGTCATGTTTCATAAAACTGTGAGCAATATGCAATACTGTACATTGTAAACATATAAATATCTTCTAATATTAAAGCGACTCTAAAGCCTCAGATTTTTTTTTTACCTTAATGCAGTCTCTGCATTAAGGTAAAAAACCTGCTTTGTCCAGGATTCTCTCCCCCTTATACTTACCTGAGTCCAATCTTGATCCATCACTGTGCCCAAGAGCAGCGACTTTCACCTTCCTCCCAAAGTAGATTGATGCCAATGTCGCTGCTGTACATCAAATCCTGTGACAAGGGAGAGGAGGGCACAGGCAGCGGGGCTCAGGGGCGAGCCCGCATGAGTGCTCCTATAGGAAGCAGCTTCTTCTGGGGTGACTTGCCGAAGAAGAGGAGCCAGGAGTGCCGGCGGGGGGTCCGAGAAGGAGGTGGAAACTGGAGAGTGCGAAATCTGGTGCAGCTGTGCATGGTAGCCAATCAGCTTCTATCTTCAGCTTGTTCAATTAAGCTTTGAAAAAAAAAAAAACTAGAAGCTGATTGGTTTCTGTGCAGAGCTGCACCAGATTTTGCATGCTCCGGTTTTAGTAAATCAACCCTATAGATTTCTCCATAAACAACACAGATGGACGATTCTCTCCTATTGTATTCTGACAACCAGCCCTGATTGGATGCTTCCACTGTTCGGCTGACAATTCTCCACCCAGCTCCTTTTACAAAAGTTTGCTTTTGTCGAGCCAGGTGGTGCCGATAGGAATTGGCTGAAATTTGAGCCATGTGTGGCAGATTTTAGCCTAAAAAGGAGAATCCACACTGCCCATCTCTGTAATGTAATACGGCAAGAGCAAACATATGATACAGTAATTGTAGATGAACTTTTAATTGGTCTATTGATTTCACAGTATTTGGCCATATCTGATTCACAATATTTCTATTTTTTAGGGTCATACATGGCTTAAAGACGATGAAGCAACAGGGTGTAAACAATGTAAAAAAGAATTTTCTATTTCAAGACGAAAGGTGAATATTCAGAGCAAACATTTCCCAAAAATAAATACTGGTTTTGAATATTGTTCATAATAAAGGCAATTTCCTTCTTATCCATTAAACGTTTGAATTGTATTGCCGCCTACAAAAGGATTGAGCCAAACAAAAAAACTGTGGGAAAATGGGTAGAACCTGGTGCCCAGCCTGAATGGCCTACTAGCCAGTGAGTCTTTAGTGAGCAAGTGCAAAGGCACTGCTAAGAGCTCTGGACTTGGAAATACTACGCAGCTAACTTAGCCAGAAGCAGTCTGAAAGCGCTCAATGGTCACTTATGGGTGCACCCAGCAATGTTTGATCCAATGAGATCCAGTCACAGTAACAACAATAGACAAGACCAAGGAACAACTGTGACAGGTATCTGTGAAAAAGCAAAGAGATCTCTTGCAACAACATGGAGCAGAATCTCAATTGAAAAGAAAAAAATAGCTAGAAAAACACTGGTTAAGTTTTAAGTCAAAGTAGGGGTCTGGGTCAACGTAAGAGGTATAACCCCTCCTACTACTAGCCTGACTCAGTTTTTTTCCTAGTGTCCTCGGAAGATGTTTGTTTTTTAGCTCCCCTGATTTAAGACTTACCCTGTGGTTTTCTAGCAACTTTTTTCTTTTTAATCAAGATTGTTAGGAGGCCAGTTAGGCTGGGCACCAGGTGCTTGCTTATTTTCAGTAGTTAATGGGTGCCTATTTTGAATTCACACTGGCTTGCAATAGAATGGGTTAATGCTGTAAAACTGAGCACCAGCATCATTGTGTTGAGTGCACACTCAATGGCCTGTTGCCCACCAGACAGGGTCATGGTTACAATGTCACCTTGAGGGAGTGTCCCTGAAAAGTCTGACATAGCTGATGACTTGGGGGCCTATGTGACACCGTTGTCACTAGAAACAAGGGAAACACATATTAGGAGCACTGGTGAGCTTGCCAATATCCATTACTGTTACTGCAGGTACCCACTGCTTAAATTGGCCAAGTGCTGTAAGAAAGCCTCTGTGGTTAGTGCTGCAGTTAAGTATCAAGGAAGCATCTCCCCACTACTGCAAGAGCCATATATAACTTTGACCCCAAATGTGTTCCTACTGTCAGCCTTCTTGGTCACCTACAGCCACTCAATCCTGTTTTGAGTGCTCTATGACAGCTTCCCAGGTTCTGTGAGTATTTGTGGCCTTGCTGCTTACTTTGAGCCTGTAGATTGTGTTTTGCATCTGAGGCTGCAACATGTCAAATTCTTAACGTGAAATGAAATGGTATCTGTGCACTACAAACTGAAAAACACTATTTAGTTCATTTTTAATATTCAAAGCAAACTAGCCCATCCATACATGTCGCCATGCTTTATTTTGCTGATAAATCACTTTGTAAAACACAACCCTAGAATTCAAGCAGTGTTCATCTTGATCATTGGATGTATGACATAATTTTTGACCTAGGCCAGAAAACAGGAAGTGAATGAAGAAATATATATATATATAAAAAAGTTTAAAACAAATATAATATGCCTTATCTAATGATAGCAGCATAAGGGTTAAAAATAGTTAATGTTGATTGAGAGAGTTTAGTTCCGCTTTAATGCAGGGGAATCCTAGCTGTACTTGGGCACTCCAGCATACTGTCCACTTAATGGGTTAGGGGCTGCCTGCAGCTTGCCCCCTTGTTCATGCTGATGCATGCAGTGTGAACTAATGTTGCCCTTTTGTGTCTGTTCCCTCCTCTGGAGCCAGAGTCCTTTCTGACTCCCTCAGCTGTTTGGTCTGAACAACTCGGTAAAAGACAAAGTTTCCACATCTGCAAGCTCAGAAGCAGCCAAGACCGCAGGCAGATCAGATAACATTTTGTCACTGGTTGCCGACCCTGAATGAAGAACCTCAAGTTTGCTTCTATGCCTTGCACTACAGTTGCATCATCTGATCTGCCTGTGGTCTTGACTGCTTATGAGCCTGCAGATGTGGAAACTTTGTTACTGAGTTGCTCAGACCCAACACCTGAGGAAGTTAGAGAGGGCCCTGTGGAGGGAATAGACACTCAAAGGCAACATACATTCACACTACATGCATCAGCACAATCAAGGAGCATGCTGCAGGTAGACCCTGACTGCTTAATGGGCTGGTATTGTATTGCTAACTGTGATGCTAAGTTGCCGGCTGATGAGCTTTTTCCTGGGGAGTCACAGTCATCTGCGAAATTGAATAAGAGTGTTTTGTCCCTTTATTGATTCACTATGTCAGATTATTCTGTTGCTTTTAGCACTTCTGTGTCTGGCCTTGGATTCTACAAGGCCCTTAAGGCTTCCAAGACATTTTCTTCATGCCCACTCTTTGAGCTGTTTCTGTATAAAGTCTGATGTTTTTGCACCTGCCAAAAGCTTGTTGGTGCTCTACCTTCTTAACCACTTTCTGACTGCCATACATATACAGTCATGGGCAAAAATATTGGCACCCCTGTATTTGTCAGATAATGCACCACTTTGCCCAGAAAATTGTTGCAATTACAAATGTTTATGCATTGTATGTTCATATTTTTTTTTTTGTATATTGGTATGGCATAAAAAAAGTATACAAACAGCCAAATCTTACACGTTCCACCCCAAAATAACTGGACAAAATTATTGGCACCTTCTCAAAATTGTAAGAAATAATTACATTCCAATTTTGTTATGCTTCTGTAATTTGTAATTAAACTCACCTGTCAATTAACAGATGCTGACAATATAGAAATCACACTGGCAACAAGTGAAAGTTGTGAAAAATTTACTTAGCCTATTTATTGTGTCTCTCTGTTTGCCACATGGAGAAGAGAAAGAGCAGCAAAGAAATAGTTTCAGAATTTGAGAACAAAAATTTTGGAGAAAAGCTTGAACAATCTCAATATTAAAAGTTCATCTCCAGCTATTGTAATGTTCCTGTGCCCACTGTATGCAATATTGTCAAGATGTTTACAGCCCATGGCACTGTAGCTAATCTCCTTGGCCGTGGACGGAAGAAGAAAAATATTAAAGATTGCAACAAAACATTGTTCGAATGGTGTATCCACCACCTCAATCAACTTCCAGACAAATTGAAGCTGACCTTCAGGCACAGGGTACAACTGTGTCAGCTCACACTATACAGTCATGGCCGAAATTGTTGGCACCCTTGATATTTTTCCTGAAAATCAAGTATTTCACACAAAAAAGGTATTGCATTAACACATGTTTTGCTATACACATGTTTATTCCCTTTGTATGTATTGGAACAAATATAAAACAGAGGCAGAAAAGCAAATATGACATAATGTCACACAAAACCCCAAAAATGGGCTGGACAAAAGTATTGGCACCCTTAACTTAATATTTGGTTGCACACCCTTTGGAAAACATAACTGAAATCAGTCGCTTCCTATAACCATCAATAAGCTTCTGACACCTCTCACCCGGAATTTTGGACCACTCTTCCTTTGCAAACAGCTCCAGGTCTCTCTTATTGGAAGGACACCTTTTCCCAACAGCAATTTTAAGATCTCTCCACAGGTGTTCAATGGGATTTAGATCTGGGCTCATTGCTGGCCACTTCAGAACTCTCCAGCGCTTCTTTGCCATCCATTTCTGAGTGCTTTTTGACGTATGTTTGGGGTCATTGTCCTGCTGGAAGACCCAGGATCTTGGACGCAAACCCAGCTTTCTGACACTGGGCCCTACAGTGCGACCCAAAATCCTTTGGTAATCCTCAGATTTCATGATGCCTTGCACACAGTCAAGGCACCCAGTGCCAGAGGCAGCAAAACAACCCCAAAACATCATTGAACCTCCACCATATTTTACCGTAGGTACTGTGTTTTGTTCTTTGTAGGCCTCATTCCGTTTTCGGTAAACAGTAGAATGATGTGCTTTACCGAAAAGCTCTATCTTGGTCTCATCTGTCCACAAGACGTTTTCCCAGAAGGCTTTTGGCTTACTCAAGTACATTTTGGCAAACTGTAGTCTTGCTTTTTTATGTCTCTGTGTCAGCAGTGGGGGTCCTCCTGGGTCTCCTGCCATAGCGTTTCATTTCATTTAAATGTCGACGGATAGTTCGCGCTGACACTGATGCTCCCTGAGCCTGCAGGACAGCTTGAATGTCTTTGGAACATGTTTGGGGCTGCTTATCCACCATCCGGACTATTCTGCGTTGCAATCTTTCATCAATTTTCCTCATCCGTCCACGACCAGGGAGATTAGCTACAGTGCCATGGGTTGCAAACTTCTTGATAATGTTGCGCACTGTGGACAAAGGCAAATCTAGTTCTCTGGAGATGGACTTGTAACCTTGAGATTGTTGATATTTTGCCACAATTTTGGTTCTCAGGTCCTCAGACAGTTCTCGTCTCCTCTTTCTGTTGTCCATGCTTAGTGTGGCACAGACAGACACACAATGCAAAGGTTAAGTGAACGTCTCTCCTTTTTATCTGCTTTCAGGTGTGATTTCTATATTGCCCACACCTGTTACTTGCCCCAGGTGAGTTTACAGGAGCATCACATGCTTGTAACATTCTTATTTATCCGCAGTTGTGAAAGGGTGCCAATACTTTTGTCCAGCCCATTTTTGGAGGTTTGTGTGACATTATGTCGAATTTGCTTTCTTTCCTCCCTTTTTTTGTTTTGTCCCAATACACACAAAGGGAATAAACATGTGTATAGCAAAACATGTGTTAATGCAATACGTTTCGTGAGAAATACATGATTTCCTGGAGAAATATCAAGGGTGCCAACAATTTCGGCCATGACTGTATGTTACATCTGAATGAAAAGGGATGCTATGGTAGGAGACCCAGGAGGACCCTACTGCTGACACAGAAACATAAAAAAAAAACAGCTTTCCTTTTGCCAAAAGTTACCTGAGGAAGCCAAAATCCTTTTGGAGGAATGTGCTAAAATACAGCTTTTTGGTAAAGCCCATCATTCTGCTCTTTTCAGAAAAAGCAATGAGGCCTTTGCATAAAAGAATACAATCCCTATAGTCAAACATGGAGGTTCACTGCTGTTTTAGGGTTGCTTTGCTGCTTCAGGCACTGGATGTCTTGAGCGTGTACATGGCATTATGAAATCTGAAGACTACTAAAGAATTCTGGGGTGTAATGTAGGACCCAGTGTCAGAAAGTTGGGTCTTACAGCAGGACAATGACCCAAAGCACACGTCAAAAAGCACCCAGAAATTGTTTCAGACAAAGCGCTGGAAAGTTCTTAACGGGCCAGCAATGACTCCATATCTCAATCCCATAGAGCACCTGTAGAGAGAGATCTCAAAACAGCAGTTGGGAAAAGGAACCCTTCCAACCTGGAAGACCTTAAGCAGTTAGCAAAAGAAAAATAGTCCAAAATTCCAATAGAGTGGTGTAAGAAATTCAATGATGGTTGCAGACAGTGTTTGATTTCAGTTATTTTTTTCCAAGGGTTGTGCTACTAAATATTAAATTGAAGGTTCCAATAATTTTGTCCAGTCCATTTGTGGGGTTTTGGGTGCAATGTATCAGATTTTGCTAAATGTTTTTCCATTTTTTTTTTTTTGTGCCATACCAATACAAACAAAAGAAATAAATATGAAAATGCCGAAACATTTGTAATTGCAACAATTTTCTGGGTGAAGTGGTTCATTACCTAACAGAAATGTCAATATTTTTGGCCTGTCAAAAAGAGAGTATAGCAAGCTCATAGCTGCTGCTTCAGCCATAAGCAATCATCTGTTCAGTAAAAGTGATCGGGTGGTTGTAAAGCTGCCTAAATCATTTTTACTGAAGTAAGGAGGGCTGCTTTTACAACCAGGGAAGCAGTTAATCAAGCACATTTTGTGTTTGATTGCCTGCATTGGAGGGCAGGGGAGACACTGGGGCGTTAACAGACCCCTGAGGTACTCCATAAAGAGTACCTGGCATCTGCCCAAAGCTATCACATAGGGGGCTTGTTTAACCCCCTTGTGACAATAATAAAATTAGCCCCCTCTGCAACCATACAAGGCCACATGCCCTTAACATGGGGGGTGCCCCTAAAGCACCCTGTAACCATGTTGATGGGGATAAGAGCCTCTTCCCCACAACTCAGCCAAATGCCCAGCTTCTGACAGGTGTCCTGCCATACACAGACATTTTGTTCCTTGCCTCATGGCTTTCTAGTTGTGCCTTACTTACAGCCATCTTTGATGAGGTATGTACTAATGTTGCCATACTACCGTAAGCTATAAAGTGTGAATTCAATTGCAATGCTATATAATATCTGGATATCTGCAACATTCTTCATGTTTGCGAAGCCCATTAGAGAACATCCTATATGGTGTATCAAAAACATCTGTGTTACTCTGGGAGAGCTGGTGTTATGATTATTATACAGGATTTATATAGTGCCAACAGTTTGCTCAGTGCTTTACAATATAACGGGAGACAATACAGCAACAATACAGTTTAATACAAGAGGGATAGAGCTTACCATCTAAGAGATGTTATTGCCTTTTTATATTTTTGAATGCCATAATAAATAAAAGCCATTTAAGGATTGGGTACATTATTTAAATATAGTTGATTAATAAACATTGCTTTCTTTGTTTTGTAGCATCATTGTCGAAATTGTGGAGATATATTTTGCAATACATGCTCAAGTAATGAACTTTCACTGCCATCATACCCAAAGCCTGTACGTGTGTGCGACACCTGCCATAACTTACTGCTCCAGAGATGTTCTTCAAATTGTTCTTAAGATTTAAAATGCTTTTTCTGAAACTACAGAAGAGAAGGATGTCTGTTTTCTACAAGTTCTACTACTCTTTCTTGTTAGAAATATTATCTAAATGTATATTTTTCTGGTACTGCCTTCATAAGAAAAATCAAATGCCATACTAGCAAGCAATCAATGACAAAGCCATTACAGCCTATTTTGTTTATATCATTAATATAACTGTAATATCTTACATTTTCTGTACCTTACGTTGCACAGTTTTGCAATGAGATTGAAACTAAACCTGCATTTGTAACACGTGTCAAGAAATGTGCCTTTGTGGATTTTCAGCTTTTAAAAATATGCAGATCATATTTGATATAAATCATCCTTTGATACCAGAAATAAAAATATATATATATACATTTTTTGGTTACTAAATGCATCTTTTATTAACATACTCCTCAATAACTTCTAAATGTAATCTCCCTTTTCCTCATATAAGTGTACTTTTCGGTATTATGCATCTCAAGGTTCTTCTATAGGTTGAAAAAGCACATTATTACCTTGTTAATGGCTGTCAACCAAACAAAAAACTGTCAGATCTACTATTTAATATTTCTGTCTGAGTAAACAGCTAAGACTTCTATTTTTTTTTACCTTGGTCTTCCCTTCTTGAAGTGGTTCTAAAGTTAGAAGTTTTTTTACCTTAATGCATTCTCTGTGTTAAGGTAAAAAAACATTTCCTGATAGCCCCCCTCCTCCTTTAAATACTTACATGGCTCCTCTGTCAATCCAATGCTGTGCCCATCTGTAGCACACATTCACAGGACACAGAGGGAGCAGCAGGCATTGACTGCTGCTGTCGATCAAATTCTCCTCACAGAAAGCAGGGGGTGAGGCTGAGCCACACTGTGTTTGTGAGAGACTACTGTTTTTCAGAACCTTGTACATTTTGTTTGCCAAGAAACACATCCAAAAACATTTTTTGAACTTATCTAAACTCCCTGACACCATCAATTGTGGAAGGGAGTTCCATGCCATTACCACTCTAACAGTAAATAACCCCTTACGGAGTTTAAGATTGAAACATTTCTTGTCCAACTTCATTGTGCGCTGTCTTGTCCCTTTTAGATACCCAAGATAAAAATGTTTCCTCCCCTTGCTAGAGTCCCCATCTAAAGATCTGTATATCGCTACCATATCGCCTCTTAAATGTCACTTCTCCAGGGAGAATACATTTAATGTTTGTAGTCGCTCCTCATAACTGAGGTCCTCCAGCCCAGCTTGTTGTTTTGTTGCCCTTCTCTGGACTCGCTCCAGTTCAAGCACATCCTTCCTGAGGATTGGTGACCAGACCTGGATGACATACTTGAGATGTGGCCAAACCAGAGTTTTGTAAAGTAGTAGAGTTATAGTTTTATCTCTTTAGTAAATACCATTTTTAGTTTCATAAATGGTTTATTAAGTCAAATAACAGTAGACATGAATATTACACCAAAGGTCTGCCCCTCGTGTCTCATACAGATAATCCTCACAAAACAGCGACCAGTGACAACGTGGGCGATTACAAGAGCATAAACAGAATTGTTCAGTATACAGCAGAAAACATCTCTACAGTTAGCAGTAACATCTGACATACAGTTAGCAGTACAATATACAAGTCTCTAATATCTGGAAGGGTGTATGAAGAGAAGTCTGAATCCTGTTAGACATTTTCTGAATACCAGTGAGAATAACAGCAAGAAAAAAAAAAGAAGAAGAAATAAAGCACATTCCCACCAGCCTGCCCATCAAAAACAGAGATAGAGAAAAGATGTAACCATTGAATAAAGGGGGAAAAAAACAGCAGAGAAGCAGTAAGAGAGATACGAGAAAAGAGAGATAGGGAATAAAAAAGAAGAGGAGCAGGAGGAAAGGTAAGAAAAATGAAAAACAAAAAGGGATGAATAGAAGACAACAACCAAAAAAGGGGGGGAGGGGTTTGAGGAAAAAAAAAAAAAAAGTATAGAGTGGGGAAGAGAGAAGAAAAAAAAAAGGGGGGGTGGGGAAGACTCAAAAGTCCCCACCAGAAGGTGACAATCAGCTCGGTTCTCACATTACACCACAGGGCACCCTATACCCTCTCAAATAAAAGTGTGGGTAGATAATCAGCCCCTCAATGTCAATGCCTCCACAAGGCAGTAGCATACTCCACTGTGGTCTGGAAGTCCAACCAACAAGCCTAGGTCGTACGATATTTCGACATGATCTCTTTTGAGATAGCAATTAGTTTTTTCCAGTTTGGACACACGAGTCACTCTCAGGAACCAATCTCTCATAGATGGGATGGTCGACTGTCTCCAGTAAACGGGAATGCATTGCCTCACCAAATTAATTAGATGCATAGCCAGAGATTTCCCATATGACCCCTTCATAACTGAGGAATGGTTCAGCAAGAATTGCTCAGGTGAAAAGACCAGGGGGTAAGAGGATACCCTAGCAACCACGTCATGAACCTTGCTCCAATAGATCTAAATATGACGACAACTCCACCAAATATGGAGAAAAGAGCCTCGTTCCTCCTCCCCCCACAGCGCAAACAAGTGTCTGGCGCTGAGGGAGAAATTTTGTGCAGCAGACAGGGGACTCTATACCACCTGGAACTCACTTTGTAACAATGCTCCTGTACCGTCACATTTAAAGAGCCCTTAAGAGATGTTAAGTTCGCCATCTCCCATTCAGCCTCTGAAAGAAGTATGCCGCAAAGTGCCCAAAAGCACCTTAGCGTTGCTGCGATCAATGGGTGTACCCAGGGGCGGACTGACAACTCACAGGGCAATAGGGGATCATGGGGCCCGTGTCCTTCCCCAAACTCAAAAAAGCCTATGAAAAAGGTACGAGGGGCATCTCATGGGGCCCCCTACTGACCTTGGGCCCTCGGGCAGTGCCCGAGTTTCCAAATGGTCAGCCACCCCTGGGTGTGCCTTTAGAGTTTGCCGGAAAAGTGTGTATTCCCCGGGACCGCAGTCAGAGAGTGCATGGAGAATGCTTGTTCTAAGGGAATCCAGTCCTTAGCCTTACCATGAATATGCCAATTCACCAAGCGAACAAGCAGACATGCCTGATGATATCATCTAAAAGTTAGGGAGAGCAATGCCCCCTTTAGATTCAGGGCACATCAGACATCACATCCCTATTCTGTGGGGCCTCTTACTCCATACAAAAGGAGTTGATCAAGGCTTGCAAGATCTGAAAAAAGGAGGGCAACTCAATAGGAATCGTGTGCATAACATACAGTATCATACATACTAGGGGGGGTACAACTGGGGGAATCAATGGTGGAGAAGGATCTGGGAGTTCTGGAAGATCACAAGCTTAATAATGGCATGCAATGCCAAGCTGCGGTTTCTAAAGCAAGCAAAATCCTCTCTTGTATTAAAAGAGGTATAGACTCCAGAGAGAGCGATATCATATTACCCCTGTACAAATCATTAGTAAGACCTCATCTGGAATATGCAGTTCAGTTTTGGGCACCAATTCACAAAAAGAACATTGGGGAACTGGAGAAAGTACAGACAAGGGCAACCAAACAAAGCATGGAGGAGATCAGCTATGAGGAAAGATTAGAGGAACTGAATTTATTCTCTCTTGAGAAGAGGAGATTAAGGGGGTATATGGTCAACGTATAAATACATCAGTGGTTCATATAGTGAACTCGATGTAGAGCTATCCACCCTGAGGTCATCACAGAGGACAAGGGGGCACGCTTTACGTCTGGTGGAAAAGAAATTTAATCTCCAAACACAGAAAGGTTTCTTCACAGTGAGAGCTGTGAAGATGTGGAATAGACTCTCTCAAGAGTTGGTTCTGGCCAGCTCAGTGGATTGCTTTAAAAAAGGCCTGGATTCTTTCCTAGATACACAGAATATAACTGGATACTAACATTTATAGGTAAAGTTGATCCAGGGAATATCCAATTGCCTCTCGGGGGATCAGGAAGGGATTTTTTTTTTCCCAGAAGGAGCAAATTGGATCATGCTTTGCTGGGTTTTTTTTTTGCCTTCCTCTGGATCAACTGTGGGTATAGGATTACAACTTTTTTTTTTTTTTTTTATGGTTGAACTGGCTGTACTTTTGTCTTTTTTCAGCCAGACTAACTATTCTAGGGAGTACTGTCATCTTCAGAATAGCAGCCCTCCCAAACCATGAAAAACATGGTCTATTCCATTATATCCGCTTGGAGAGAGGTCAGAAGAGGCAAAAAAATTGCTACTATATAGATTAGACAAGTGCACAGGAAGCTGGATGCCCAGATACATAATCGAGGTCATTCGCCAGATGAAAGGGAAAGCGGCTTGGCATTATGAGACCAGAGCAGGGGGAAGAGAAACATTGAGGGCAAAAGATTTAGACAAGTTCACTTTAAAATTGGAAAGATCGCCATACACGTTCAGTTCACGTAGGAGATTAGGGAGCGATGTCAACGGGCTTGTAAGAAAAAGAAGTATGTCGTCCGCATATGCTGCCCTTTTGTATTTTGATCTGCGATAATGACTCCATGGATATCTGGATTCGAACGTATATTGCGTAAAAAAGGGTTCTAGAGTAAGTATAAAAATAATTGGGGATAGGGGGCAGCCCAGACGTGTCCCGTTGGTAATAGAAAATGCATCCGACAGCATCCCGTTAACTCGTACTCTAGCACGCGGTCCTGAATAAAAAGCCGAAATCCTGAAAAGCATAACGTGACCTAAACCCACCGCAGTGAGAACCTTATTCATAAAATCCAACGCCACCCTGTCAAATGCCTTCTCGGCATCCATAGAGAGGAAAAAACCAGGACAGGAGTGGCTTGTAAGCCAGTGTTGTATGTTAAGGGCTGTCGTATTGTCACTAGCCCTCTCTTCTCGGGGTGAAACCCACTTGATCTAAAGAAATGAAAGGTGACAATAAAGGGATAAGTCTAGTTGCCACCATTTTAGTGTTCAATTTCAGATCCACATTAAGTAAGGAGATCGGTTGGTAATTCGGCACCTGAGATGGGTTCTTCCCCTTTTGGG